TTGGCGCCCTTCTCTGCTGCCTGCTTCTTGCTGTAGGGAAGCAAGGTTCCAGCACGATTTTGCCTTAGCAGAACTGATTTTCCGTCTGCCAATTGCACCTGGACCGGAATCGCTGATTGCTCCTCTCCTTCCGTCGCCGGACGGTAGGGGTTGGTCGCCCCAGAGTCAAGAAGCGCCCATGAGGAAGGGACGCCGCTTTCAAACCCCATCTCGGATTCCATCTTCTTGACCTTCGCCTCAAAGTCCGCATCATCCACCAACGACAACTGATTCAAGCGAGTGAACCTTTGCAACATGGTGTTCACTTCCTTCATGAAGTTCTGAAGCTCAGGGTTCTGCAAGGACTCGGGGGTAAACGGCTGTATCGGTTCCCCAGGAATCACTGCACCCGCCGATGTAGTAGAGGACGTCGTGGTAGAGGCGGTGGAGTTGAGAGCTGTGCCCACTGCCTTCGGTTCCGGTGCCGTTGCCATAGATGCCATAGCTGTCGAAGAAGGGCCAGTGCCAGAGGCAACGGCCGATGGCGCAGATCCCGGGGTCGTCCTTTGAACCTTCGTCGGGTCCTTCACCGGACACTCCCCTTGTCTATGCTGCCTTGACCCACAATGCCAACAACGAGCACGCTTCTCCTCCTTGCTTGCAAAGTCGTGTGCGTACTTGCACCCAGTACCACGCCTGCATCCAGCATCCGAGGCAAAGAACCGACATGGAGTGCCCTGCTTTCCACCACCCTTTGTAGGTGACGTCGATGGGCTTCTTGGCTCACCAGTTCCAGCTTGACCGCCAACGGCTCGAAGATGCGGCTGACCCTCTGTTGCTGAACCCGGAGCCCTGGAGGAAGTGCGAGCTGGCATTGACTGTTGAAGCTCGGAGAGGATGTGGTCGTAGTACTTCAGCACCGTCTCTTGGGTTGGCCTGTGTTGCAATTGTAGTTCATTACGTGCCAACTGTAGTCTGAAACTCATGTCGTGGTTCTTCCGAATCGCGGTGCCTGCAATCTGCTCTATGCCCTTCAACAGAACACTGGCATCAGGAGGCGAAAGACTCATCTCCAAGGCGCGTGTCAGATTGCGCCTCCAGCGGCGCAAAGAGGCAATAGTCTCGACGATATTGTCGTTGCCAGGGGCGCCCTCAAGTTGCTTGAGCACCGTTGTTCGCTCAGCCACGCCACCAGGTGCATAAAGTACATGAAGTCGAAACAAAACTCCTGCCACGGTTGCAACTCGATGTGTCACTGCATCATCACGAACAGCACGGGGCATCGCATTCAACAACATGGTCATGACCCTCCTCTCTAGGCGATTCCACTTGTGGTCTTTCAAGTCCACGGGCAACGAAGGAGCAACGGACAATCTCTCCATTGGGGAAGCCACTTGGTGTCTCTGATAAGCCTCCTTCGAGCATGTCAAGGTCTTCTCAAACCAGGAAGCAGCCGAATCCGAAAGCGAACCCACAGTCTGCTCTGCCACATACAACCAATCGCTGAATTCAACTCCCGTCTCACCCAGCAGGTCCGGGAGCGGTGGGAGCTCCTGGCTCCCTTTCAGGGTCTCAGTCTCTGGAGACCCACGTTTCTCCATGTAAACTTGCTGGAGTTGTCGCATGCCCTGAACAAGCAAGTCCAGGGGTGAGGCCTCTGCCCCGGAGTCCAGCACAGCCCTTGGCACGCGATCGCCATCCGAAGGTCCATGAGGGTTTTCCCCGAGATCCATCCCTCGGATTCCACTCTGTGAAGTTCCTCCAACAGCCTTCGCATGACCTGATAGTTCCCCGGGACCACCTCGTAGAACTGATTCACTCAGTCCTCGGCCACCAGGAATTCCGCCAGGTTGTTCTAAAGGGCCTGCAAGACCAGGAGGAGCTCGTGGAACTCGGTTTATGCCACCACCTACACCCTCGGGAATTCCTCCAAGTTCAACGCCTGAAAGTCCACAGGGGGCCTCCTGAGGTCCATGGCCAAGTCCTCCTCCACCTGATTGAACCACATCATTCAACAGCTGGGCCGAAGTATCCAGGGCCCTCTGAAGTTCTTCATTCTGAGTCTTCAACGCCTGCAACTCCGAATCCCTATCCCGCATAGCCAACTGAACTTGCCGTCGAACCTCTTCCATAACCAACTCTTGGCTCACACTAGCCGCTGAACTGTCATCATTCGGTGGTCTCTCTGGCGGCTGAGGTGTTGTCAAGATTGACGGTCGAGCTGTCCATGCAGCCATAGCCCTGCGATTCTCGGGGCTCATGAGTGGCTGGCTCGGTGGTGCCGGCACATTCACCGGAGATTGCCATGCAGACTGCGATGGAGGAGCAACAACTTCGCCCCCTTGGCCCATCATTGGTGCCACAATCCTCCGATGTAGAACCTCGCTAATCCGCGTCACCGACCACATACCACCATGGTTCTCACCCTCAGTCTCATCATTCTGGTTCACCTGCGGGGACCCCACAAGACTCTCGGCGGAGGAAAAGATATTCCCCTCACTCGCAATCTCCTCGGCCCTTCGTCCTTGTAGGGCCCGCTGGGCCCGGTTCTGAACGGCTTGTATGACTGCTGACCGTTGCTGCGACAGCTGCTGCACCGCATGCTGGATAGGCTGAGGTAGGCGATCACCCATCGAAGAAGGAGTGACTGGCCGCAGCGGTTGCGTAGATGAAGCTTGCATCCTGGTAAGGGGAAGGCTAGGGCGCTGCTGCGGCTGCTGCGTTGCTGGTGTCTGCTGTGTGCGCTGCGCTTGTGCGTGATGTGCATTCTTGGGAGCAACTTCACCAGCACTGAAAGGTACGTCGTTCGCGCCCGATCCGGTTGGGGGTGCAATTGGCACCGCAACACCACTTGCAGACTGCTTCGGGAAAACGCCTGAGGAACTCGGAGCATCCGCCGGCTCAGGTCCCGACCCAGTCGCCACCTGAGGTGGTGGCGGAGGTGGCACTCCGTTTACAGCACCGTAACTCGGCCCTGCTTCTTCACCTTCCATAACAGCTTGTCTTGGGCGACTCATAACCTGAAGATTCCCTTGACTGCGGGTCAGGTCGGGGCGGCTTATCAAGCTTCAGACAACAAATGATCAAGAAGCCATGGCGCAATCTCAGAACGAATTGATTTTCACACACAAAAGCTGTCTGAGTACCACATATGCCTCTTCGGGCCGGGATCAACATTTAGCTCTTGGCTTTACAACGTGTGATCGACATGGAACATCTCTCACTCTTAGGATCGACGTTCAAAGCATGTCATGAAAGCCTGAAGGGCATCGGACGCAGTTCACAATCCAACAGAACCCTTAAAGGAACCATTATGATAGGGTTTAAGAGTTTAAAGTTTAGGGTGTATACCAAGAACAAGGCCGGAGATTGCGTTAGGCTAGGATTTAGGGTTGATACGGTTGATGATATAGATCCTGCATTACCTTAAGGACCCTAAACTATGGGAATTGTGGTACATTCCCTATTACGGCTAATGCAGGATTTATATCATCAACAGTGGGGTTTAAGGGTTTAGGGTGTACTTAATGTAGGAACCTGATTAAGAAGCCCAAGCTCAATGAATGATCAGGGTCCGTTTGAAGAGCCCTAGCAAAGAGACCCAGGGCTTCTTTCATCGGGCTCCTGTATTGCTGAAGGAGCAAGGGGTTCAGGGGTTTAGGGTTTAGGGCCGTTTAGGGTTTTTGGGGTTTTAGGGTTTTGGGGTTTAAGGTTTAGGGGTTTACCTGAAGGACCAAATGACCCGTAAAAGTATAGGGCCCTATACCCATATACTATGAATCCCCAAATGGTATATGAACCTTCAACCCTTTTAGGGTTCATTTCGTCCTTTAGGTTATACAGGTGTTAGAAGGGCCTCATAGTTGTTTAAAGATTTTCGGAGTGCATGTTTAATAGGGGTCTTGTAGGTCTTTAGCCTGACAAGATAGGGACAGTCCTTTTGAATTTAGTGCTCACTGTGCCTTGCTAGAGAATAGAAGAATCGGTAAGAACGGCAGTATCAGTAAAACTTACGGATCCTGCAATATAATCATAGCAATACCTCTTATGGTTTAAGCTGACACCTCTTGTAAGCCCAGCTAGGACCTAGGATGGATCCGAACCCGAGTTGCGAATGGCTTCGAATTTGTGCTTCAGGCTTCAGTTGTCGATTAGGGTCCAGGTTTTCGACTTTATGATCTTAAATGCAGGGTTACGTGGACGGGGCTGCAGTTCGGTTGACGGTTTAGGCTGCATTGTTTGGCCGGGATGTGGAAGGTTAAACATGTTATTTTCGTAGGTTGCCACCCTGTCAAGCAGACTTAAACCCTCAGTACCCAGAGGCTCCAAAAGCCCTTAATTAAGGAATATACCTTAAACTTCACTAGGAACCCTCATCTGATAAAGGGTATATTCCTTAATTAAGGGTTTTGTTGAGCCCCTGAGTACCTTCAACCCCTCTACCCGAAAGGCTTGAGTGGTGTAGGGGTCAGTAGGGTTGAGGGTTCATAGGGGTTGAAGGGTCGGGGTGGAGGCCCAGCCCCGAACCCACAAAAAGCCGACCAAGAACCCTAAGGGAGAAAGCAACCCGAGACCTAAACTTAGAGGTACTTTGCAGTTTCTTGATTTTTGATTATTAACATCCCGAAGGAACAGCTAGAATTATAATTGTTGCTAGGGGTCTAAGTTGGTAAACCGAAGCCGACAACTCTAAGGAGTGACCTCAAACTGGGCAAGGCTGAAAGCGAAGCTGGAAGCCAGGTCGCACACCATAGGGAACCAATTCCAAGCCAGAAACCGTAAACCCTACTGTTAAACATGTACTTGATAATTGGTAACGATTATTGTGATATTGTTTTGCAAAATTGTAAGTGGGGATGAAAATGGATAGTGAACCGAGCCAGCCCAACCAGACCCTAAACCGAAAGCTTAGAATCCCAGAAGGAAGGAACCCTGCCGAACCAGCACGGCTGGAACCCCTATACACTGGATCGCACGGACTTCCTGCAGCCCTAAACCTTAAACCCTATGAGCTTGGCCAGGTGGAGCAAAACACCAGGCCTTTGGGAACCTGGGCGCTCGAGGCTTCTTTTCAAAGTTCTGGCTTACGGGATAGGCGTCCCCAGAGGCTTCCTACAAAAGCGCTTGGGCTGGGAGGGAAAGGTGTTCTTTGGACAGGTTCGGGTTTCAGGTTTAAGGGCCTCTCTTTAAAGGCGTTCTTTAAAGGGCTAGGTTGTTTGAGCTTTGGGCAGGGGGTAAAACAGACCAGGAACCTCGCACGAAGGATCTTGTCGAATTTGGGTTCCTTGACACTTCACGCTTCACGTGCTTAATCTTGAGCTGCCACAACCACGGATCCCGTTTTACAAATCTGAGAGGGTTTAAGGGTTTCGGGTTTCAGGTTTAGGAATTTTAAGGTTCAGCGTTTAAAGCGAGAGTTTAAGGCTTGAGGTTTAAGGGAAGTACGGTACACCTGAACCCGCCTTTGTAGGGATTGTAAGGTTCCCGATTATGAGTTCCTTCTAGAATATCGTGACAAGGAGGGTGTCGGGGGTTCTTTGTAAAATAGCTGCGTAACATGTACATTCATGTGGGTACTTACGCCCAATGAGGAATAGACACGTTATTTATACGTGTTGACCCAGCCATGAACTCGGACTATCGTAGGACTTTGGGTTTGAGGTTTAGGGTTTGAGACTCAATGCCCAGTTGCACGAACCTGTCCCTGCGCCTGACAGCATCAAAATGGAGCACATCACGACAGAGGGCGAGATCATGATTGCGAAACTGTGGGAGCCCTACTACAGGGGCCTAAACATTTACCAATACTATTTTCGCGGTTCCTTATCATAACTACAGTATAATGGGCCCCGAAACCCTATTCTAATTCTTAAGGCCCCACATTCCTTGCGTTTGATTCATGTTGGTGTTTAGGGTAGACGTAGAGCATCGCTCATGCAAAAAACGGTCCTTCTTGTATCGTCAACACTGCAATGCAGGGGCCTTAATAGAATAGGGTTTTGGGGCTGCTGGTTATACTTGTAGCATAATATCCCTTGCATGGTCGGAGCATACGATGTTGAAGCCCAGATGATTCGTAATGCAAGTCCTTTCCTTTGCGCCCATAGTTATAGTCTCATAAGCCCCATCACCCTATGCTGATCATGAAGACCCCTCTACTACTGAGGACTTCAATCACTTGCGTGCTATAAATTTTAGGCTTACCCTATGCCTCCAGGGACCTTATTATGGGGTCCTTAAGGGGTCTAGGGCCCTAACTAGGTCCTTGGAGGGATAGGGATAGGGTTCCATCCTGCTTTTCCAGTTACTCCCAACCTGCAGCCCTCTCGACCATGTTGCGCCAATCCGGGTGCAGGGTTTACGGTTTAGGCTTCGGGCTTTAGGGTTCAGGATTTGCGCTGCCAGTTTCTTAGGCGTTGATTTCCTCTCATTTCCTTACATACGTCTTCAAGAATGTCGATATCATGGTAGTTGAGGCCGGTGTAGGGTCCTTAAGGAACAAATGAACCTTAACAGTAGTGGCCCTCTACCCTTGGTATATGAACCTTATATGAAACCCTTCCGGGGTTCACGTCGTTCTTAAGGTCCTTAAACCGAACCCTAAACCCTAAACTCGAAACCCTAAACCCTTAACCCACTTTAAATCCTTAACTTCCAGAGTTGGGGTAGTACTGATGCTTGGCAGACATCAACGTCTTGGGACGAAGGGCTCCCGTTAGACATTCCACATATGGGCGGTTGTCAAAATTATGATCCCTTTGGGGGTCCTTATTATCATACGACACATATAAGCTCTCTGAGGCTTTGGGTGTAGGGTTTAGGGTTTGGGATGTAAGGATCAGATCTCTATGTTCCTCAGAAGGCAACCAAATTGTAGGGTTTTAGATCCCAGGTTACGGACTTTGCTTGCTTTCGGCGCTTAGAACCTCAGGGTATGTCAATACCCGCCTGTATTGATGTTCACACATACGTTCACTCATACGTTTAAGGCTTTATGTTCAGGGTTAAAGGTTGTGCTGACGAGTCCTAACGCTGGAAGCCGACACAAGGAAAAGCCACAAAGTGTTCCGAACCAGCCACACTTCCTCAACTCCGAAGCTCTGAAGCCTTAAAATCCTAAACGCCCTTGTGGACTCTATACAGAGCCTCCTAATGCGCTAAACCCTAAGGGTCCACGTACCCAAATAGTATAGAAAGGCCAACGTGTATAGTGTTTGGGTACATGGACGCTTATTGAAACCCCAAGCTTGGAACAACGTTGCTTTCCTTAGGTTCGACGTCCTCGGAGCCTTTTTGGTCGCAGCCTCTGCCAGCACCTACTGACCCAGAGGGTTTAAGTTTTAAGGTTCAGAGCACGTCCACATATATAGCTATTACGGAGTTAGGTTCCGAAAGACCATCCTCATTATGGTTTCGAGCATTTGCTTCCACAATAGTAGCATATATGGAACCTTCGGGTAATGTAAACAAGATGACAGGATTTTGTGTGTAACTAGAAACGGCAAATTTCGGGATGATTATATTACGCTTGGTATATGGCTTGAGTGAAGGATCTTGGGGTTTCAATATATCTTAGATCCCTACATCAGTACCAAAATTGTTCTTAGGGTTCCTGATTAAGTATATATGGATTATAGATATACTATAATGAGCCCAAAAACCTATTCTATTTGCCAAGGCCCCTACAAGACATTTAGCTCCTTTTTCGGCAGCCTTAATTGCGTTGAAGTCGGCACACGGACTCCATTGATTGACTCCAATGCCTGTTTGAAGCCTGCAATGCTGCAAGCTCCACAACTTGGACCCTAGTCTGGATTCTGGAATGCCAAGCTTCAATACCTTTTGGACCTAAACCCTAAACCGTCTTAGAGGAGCCATCATGAAATACGGCTTTAATATTCTTCCGTTGTTACTTCAAAGCCCAGTAGTTGTTGCCCGTTGCCCCTCCAGGAGTACTCCAAGAAAGAAGGAGCAGCTGCTGGACTTGTGCACTGGCGAAGCAGCCCTTCCGGTTCCTGAGCAAATGACCCTTAAAAGTATAGGGCCCTATACCCATCTACTATGAATCCCTATATGGTATATGAACCTTAAACCCTTTTAAGGTTTATTTCGTCCTTAAGGTTGCTGCTGCACGAGGTGACCCGATGCTGGAGCGGCGACCAGAAGATTGGGACATGTGCCGACAGAGCGGATGCGATGCTCTCCACCTGAAGCACAAGCCGCCCACGGCGACAACTCGCGCACTGAAGCAGCAAGTTCTCAGAGGAGATCAATGTGAGGTGGGCCCTGCGCAAAAAGATCCCAAGTTGGCACCGGCCGTCAACAGCATGTGCTGGCAGCAGCGTCCAAGAGCATGGGATCTAATTATCTCGGGCTTCCAAGGTGAGCTTCACGTGGCGAGCTGGCGGTATCGATCCAATAAGACCTGCAGCACATTGTCCGGTAGCTCTGGTTCGGGTTTAGGAGGTTTTGGGGTTTAGTGTTTAGTGACGAGGTGGGAGGTAAGCCTTCAATCCCCTATAACCCCTAAACCTCCAGAGCCCTACGGAACCCAAAGGAGCCACTAAAGGGACCCTTCAAGGAGCCTGTAAAGGCGTCTCTAAGCCGCGTCGTTCGCATCAGGCCCTGAACGATGATTCCCGCACCTTCGAGCAGGCGAGGTTCCGGATTTCTCGGGTTCCCTTGTAAAAAGGGACTGTAGTAACAGGGACCCTGATTTAGAGAACTACCAACATAGGAGCTGTCACGATTCGAAGTTGGGGTTTGGGTTTAGGGGATTCTTCGGCAGTCATTTCGTGGCTTTAACGATTCGAAACGGGTTTCTCGCTATATTGTAGTCGAGTTATAACAAGGAGCTCTGAAGAGACTGTGGGTATTTATTCAGGTTCCTGTGTGCAGGATTTGTGTTTCTGGATCTCTTTGGTGGCTTTATAATTCGTTATACGGTTGGAAGTGTAAGCAATGCGACAGCGGCAGAACGTTCAGACGGCCGCCCGGCAACGTTTGCCACAGATGTTGGCCCTTCAACCGGGTTGGCATGCACAGCTCTAGACAGCCGGTGAGACGACTCAAAAAAAAAACAGCGCCCACTAATGGTGGCAGCAAGATGTTTGAGTAAAACAGAAGAAAGAAGCACCTTGCCAGATGTCTGACACGCTGATGCATGCTCTGCCGGGAGAAAGCCAGGTCTTGCTCCAGGCCTGCAAAGGGAAACTACTGTTGATGACATAAATCCTGCATTACCCATAATAGGGAATATACCATAATTCCCATAGTTTAGGGTCCTTAAGGCAATGCAGGGTTTTATATCATCAACAGTACCCGATTACCATGCCGTCCTGGCGGTGGCCTATGGCATTCTCGAGAAACTGCAGAGTCGGTGCATCCGAGTTCGTGGAACCGTCCTTCCCTTAAGGACGACATGAACCCTGAAAGGGTTTAAGGTTCATATACCATATAGGGATTCATAGTATATGGGCAAAAAAGGCTCCTACTTTTCAGGGTCATTTGGTCCTTCAGGTTCATGGTCCAGTGGGATACGCAATAGCAACTTCAGCCTGTGCGGATGTAGACGAGCTTCGTCGTGCCTATCGGTCTCGGAGATGCCTGAAGCCACTGAGAATGGCTAAGGGTTCTAGAACCTGAAGGACCAAATGACCCTTAAAAGTAGGGGCCCTATGCCCACCCCCTTCTGTGAATCCCTATATGGTATAAAATTCTTAAACCCTTTTAGGCTTCATTTCGTCCTTAAGGAAGGTTGTCTTCTATTGGGTTCTTCGACTGGGTCCTAAACCCTTTACTAAGCCCGAACTCATAAACTCTAAACTCGCTGCCTCGATGGTACGCACTGGGCAAGCCTTGGTTTATAGTGAACCCCATAAGCTTCGAAACCGGATTAATGCCAAATAGTGCTGGGATTGCCTATGTATCTAGGATCGAGGCTATTGGGTTTCCAACTTTTGGGCTTCTACTGTAAGGTCCATGGAGGCGGAGTACTGAAGATTAACGGTGGCTCGATTCCACGACATGACGTGCTCCCTTTGAAGGGTTTTGGGTTGAGACCTCAATAAGTACCAATAAAATCCTTCAGGGTTCCTTGCATTCATGGCTTTGGACATATAGGTCCCTTTAAAGCTTTACTAGAGCCTTCAGCCCTTTAGAACAAAATCGCCAAAGACCCCTTCTATTTCCTTTGAGCTGACCACCTCACACCCTAAGCCCGTAACACCCTAAACCCCTCCAAAAAAGCACCAAAAGCTTTAAGTCCTTTACCTTATGCCAATTTCTGCTTTAGACTATCGGAGAGCTGGATGCTTAGGCGTGGGGTTTAGCATCTGTTCTATTCGGGCTCGGCAGGGGCTATTGTATTGGTTACCATAATCACAGTTTACTGGCACAATATAAAATCCTATAGCACCCAATTCAAATCCCTAAGCCCTAAACCCCAACTTCAAGGAACCGGCAGCTCTCAGCCTGCACCCGAGTGCAGGACATCCTCGAAGGGCCCACGCAACTGGGCAAGTTCATCACGGCCATCATCAAGGAAGTGCTGACTCGACGAGGGTTTCAGGGTTTAGGTTTAGGGTTCAGGGTTTAGGGTTTAGGGGTTCAGGGTTCAGGGTTTAGGGGTTTAGGCTTTAGGATTGGGGATTCGGGTTTCGGGGTTTAGGGTTTAGGGGTTCAGGGTCTACGGTAGGGGGTGGCGTTGATGTTCAAGAAGCTACCGTGTGAAGCGATTCTAGGGGCTGCGCAGCGTTGAAGCCTGAAAATCAAAGTCGCTTGTGCGAAATATCCTTGACACCTGCCTTTTCAGCCTCATCGGTACCTTGAATGATAGCTAATGTAGCTGATGTTGTCATTCAGGGTTCCGTGTAGTTGGATATTGAAATTCGCCCCCGCCCCCAAAACTCTACTCTAATCATCGAGACTCCCCAGTCGAATGGATTGCTTTCCAGGGTGTTGGGGGCGCTTACAGAAACCGGAATAGCAGAGCTGGTACAGCAGTACGGGTCTAATTTACGTAGGCATTCGGGGCCGTTTGAGTAAATATGCTTGATTCGCTCTTTTTTTTCAAACCCTCGGCCCTAAACCCTAAACCCCTAAACCGCAATTTGACCACCTTTGCCGTCACTCCACCTTTTGCGCCCTTGGAGTCAGAGTCTTCAGGCAAGAGAAGGTGTCTACAAGTGACTACGGGTTGCAGTTTTCGGTTCCTTAAAGACCTTCTAATGCTATTGTCGGAGGCCCAACATCTGAATCTAATTATGCAGGCTCTTCTGCGGCTGCCTTTCTTACAGCCTTCTCATATTATTTCCTACAGCCTAGTCTAGTTGCTAAGGCCCCTGTGTTCGATCTCAAACCTCAAAGCCCAAACCCAATATCCCTGAAAGAGCCCTTTTTCAAAGCCGAAGAAAGAACCCTTCAAGGAGAGCGTTTTCTGACTACCCTTGAAGCGCTAAACGCGAAAGTCTTCCTGAAGGACCAAAAAACTAGGGGCCCTATACCCATGTACTATGAACCCACATATGGTTATGAACCTTGAACCTTCTAGGGTTCTAATTTCGTCCTTAAGTAAACTCAAGCGGTTACCAGGATGAGCCAATCACCAAGCCCTTCCTGCTGTGCGGTGCGTGTGCATCCAAGAACGGTGCTGTTGTAGGTCTGGTTGGACTAATGTGGCCCCATTTGGGCTCCTTTGGCATTTGGGGGTACCTTTGATTTAAGGGTTCCTTTATGGGTACCTTCTTGGGTACCTTCTAGTGTACCTTTCGGGGCTCTGATAAGCATGACAGGGTTCTTTTTCCGGTATGGGTTTCCTCGACGGTTTATGATGTTGGGCTTAGAGTTCACACTAAGGGTTTTGGTGTCGGGGTTTAGGGTTTATGTTGCCGGGGATTTGGAGTTTTGCTTCGGGTTCCTATCTGATTCGGGTCTAGGTCCGTTTTTGGGGTGAGGGTTTGGGGTTACCCCTAAACCAATCCCCGAAATTAGGGGCCCGGCCACGAGACGGTACTTGGGCAGTAACCAGTTCTGTTGGGTCAGTGGTTCTCTGTTCATTTCGGGAACCCTATACCCTTTAGTGGAACCCAGGATGCGTGAACTGTTCGCCAGCTTGCCTGGTTGAGCTTGGTTACTCCTGGGCAGAGGGCTGCACGCGTTTTGAGGATATCGACGGTGGTCCATGGCACAGCACGGCAGTAAGCCTCGCGATCAGACAACGCACGCTAACAGGCGAGCTTCCCTTGCGAGCAAAGGCAAAAAGATGCAGTTTGCGACGGTTATCATTTCTGAGGAATCGAGGAGTGAAGGAGTTCCTGCTGATTCCGGCATGTTGTTTTCTCCAATTAGTTCGGTGATAGCATGAGACTTTACAAAAATAGAACAGTATAGAAGCCTTTGAAGGAACCCTTATAGCAGCCCAGAACCCTAGAATTTCCTTAAACCCGTTAAGTCGTAGACTGTATAGTAAGCCTAAGCTCGAAGACCCCTCCAGGAGGAGCCCTTTGAAGGAGCTCTGTAACTGAACCCGTTAAGCAACCACCCTAAACGCCCTTACGGAAACCTTTAAACTCGTTCAAAAACTCAAAGGCTTTACGGACCCCTAAGCCCAACACCCTTTAAGGGAACCCTTCAAGGAACGCTACACACCTGTTGAGGGAACCTTGGTAGAGAACCCTAAACCTAAACCCTACCTGAACCTTCCAAAGCCTCCTGTTTTGTAGGTTCTTATTGTCAACCCAATACAGATTTTATAAAGACCCTACAAAAAAGTAGATGTTGGTGGGTTACTTGGAGGTGCGTGGGTGGTTATAAGTAGGCATATAATTAGGGTAACTATACTTATGACTTATAACCCATATTTGGGGACTTATAACCCCACTTATAACTACCCCTGAACCTCCAAGTAGGGTAAGCCCTATTCCTTAGAAGCTGCCCCCACCCTGTAATAGTGGTAAAATAGGAATATACTAGGGCCCTAATATAATCCTATATAATCGTTATAGTCACTATTACTGGGTGGGGGCAGCTTCTAACCTATTCCGAAGTCAGCCCCCGTTCTGAGACAGGCTCCGCATGGCTCGGAGCATCCTCGCGACCTATCAAGAGGTCAAGGTCGGTCTTGGTTTTGAGGGTTTAGGGTTGTAGGGTTTATAGGGTTTAGGGTGTAGGGGTTTAGGGTTTTAGGGTTTTAGGGTTTATAGGGTTTAGGGTGTAGGGGTTTAGGGTTTTAGGGTTTTAGGGTTTTAGGGTTTAGGGTTTAGGGGTTTGGGGTTTAGGGGTTTGGGTTTTAGGGTTTAGAGCCAGATCTCGTCCGCAGTTTGGTAGTTGTCAGAATTACGGTACCTTTTTGGTTCCCTATTATAATACAGCACCTGCTTTAAAACTGGGAACCGTGGTTTTTGACAACCATCCAGGTCGGAGAAGGGGTGTTATTTAAGGTCATAGGGGTTTAGGCTTGAGGGGTTTTGGCTTTAGGGGTTTAGGATAGGCTGGTCTACGGAGTTTTGAGAAGCTTTTTCTGCGAGGATTGTTTTTTGCGATTTGCAGGGGGGTTTTCATGGAGTTGAACAGTACCCCAAGCCCGAAATAGGGGGTTCGTGGCATCACCGAGCGAAACCCTCCAGTCAGTGCCGTCCTGCAGGCACGGGGCCAGGGTTACACGACGAAGCGCTATGTCAGGGCCTGAATGGACGATGATGGGTGGCGGACTCAGCTGAGGCTCGGAGCACACTAAGCCTTCCTGTACCAGCTCTCACAGAGCTTTATGTCGTGGGGACAGCACTCACTTGTTGAATGCCCAGCTGCGGGAGACGAAGGAGAAGCTTGCTCTCTCCGAAAGGCTGCTAAAGGACGGGGACTTCTGTTTTCAAGCAGGGCGCCAGAAGCGCTCAGCACTCCTGTGGTCGGAGTACTACCAGGAGGACGCGCCTTGCTGCGCCTTCTTTGCCACCGAAGCTTTCTCTGCCACAGAAGGACACGAAGGCGAAGAAGAGGGCGCGCAGCAGCACCTCAAGGACCAAATGATCCTTAGAGGTATAGGGGCCCCATACCCATATACTATGAATCCCTATATATGGCTATATGGTATATGAACCTTAAACCCTTTTAGGGTTCATTTCTTCTTTAAGGCAGTGGCTTGTCCGGTGGCCGAAGGGTCCACCCGGAGGCGGGCCCGCGGGTGACTGCGACGGTAACTCCAGCGCCGGGCCCTCCAAGGCAAAAGTGTTTAGATCAAAACCCCAAGACCCACGAACATAAGCCCAGAATTCCAAGAGCTTCACTCACCCTCTACACCGGAAGCCCTCAAAGGAAGCGTTCCGGAACCTAACCCGGATACATGTACCCAAACGAGGGACCTTAAAGGGAAAGCCCTGATTAAACCCGAAAGCCCCGAGGAAACTGTCAGGAACCTTCAGAACCCTCATGGAACTCTTGAAGGTTCCTTTAGGGGCTCCTCTAACGGCCTTGGCTTTCAACTTTGCGGCAGGAGCCTCCCGATCGGCTACAGCAGGCCGAGGCTGTCACGAAGCAGATCATCGCTGTCCGAAACTGAGGAGTGATTCGGAGCTTAGAGGATTTGCAGGTTTAGGGTCTTAGAGTCTTAGGACTTGGATCTAGGGTTTGCGGCTTAGGGTTTGAGGGTGGTCGGGAGAGTCCCTATTTTTCCCGGCGAAAACCTTGTTTTTAGGCATGGCATCACGACCCCTGCAAAGAACTGCACGTATGTCGAAGTGCAAGCGGCAACGCACGATCAAACCCTATTCGAGTAATTAATTTCCCCCCATCGCGTCTAGCTTCAAGCACAGGCAAAAGTAAGGGAAGCATTATAACACAAAAAGTATCGGGGTTTTGAAGATGCAACTAGACCAAGCAAGAAGGCACTTCAGTCATGAAGGACATCCGATCACATTTTCGAGTGAGGTGGCAAAGCACCCTGAACTTTGACCAATAACCCTAGCATGCATCAGAGAACGTATCGCACCATTCCCGCGTCGAGCACTATGACACGTCCAGACCTTGTAAAACTATGAGAGACCCTATAATGAAACCCGTACAGACCCCATGTTGCTCAAAATGCAATCTCAACCCCTCTACAACCTAAGCCCCTAAACCCTAATTCCTACATCATGAGCCCTAGACCATAAACTTCCTAAGCCCTAGATGCTAAACCCTGCCTCCTAAACCCTAAAAGTTAAAACCCCAAGTCCTAAAATCGAGGGCTTTAAGTCCTAAATCATAAACCCGGAGTCCTCGACCCTAGACCCGGAACTCGGAGGCACGCCCTTAACCCTAAACCCGAATCCCTACTTCCTAAACCCAGAGCCCTTAGCTTTTGCTGTCGGGTTTCTGAGGCCCTCTCAGAGATGAGACCGATGACGGGGTCCAAGTAGGGCGTGGGCTTTGAGAGCTTCGGGGTGATATGATTTTTTGTTTGGGTTGGCAAGGCTAGGGTGTTAAAGGGCTTAGGGGGCTTAGAATTTCGGGGGTGATATAGGAATAAGGGGTTCGATTTTTGTCAGGGGTTAGGGTGTTAAAGGGCTTAAGTGGCTTAGAGTTTCGAGTAATATCGTGGTTTGATTTCTTTAGGGGTTAGGATTTATGGTACAGGGGTTTGAAAAAGTTGTTGGAGCTTGGGGTAGTTTTCGGGTCTGCAAAAATGAAGTAGGTGCTGTGGTGCAAAGAGGTTTCGGAAAATAGATTTGGAGTTAAAATTTAGATCATCGTTCGTAGTTAGCTGCTTCTGGTCCTTGAATAAGTACACCATAACTACAGCCCTTGTGTTTGGGCACTTGGACTGTCTGCGGACAAGCACCTACCCTCGAACCTTGAACAAAACCCCTGTCGACTCCACATGAACAACGAAATCGCACAAGCCTCACCCCAAACCCCTAAACCCTTAAAGGAACCGACGGCATTAAGTTACACAGACCCTAGAAAAAATCTAGCAAGCCTTGTAGTAGCCCTTATACACCCGTGGTTCAGGGGCCCTAAACTCTGAACCTCTGAAGGAATCCCCCAAACTACGCTTGAACCGTTCGGCTTTGTTCAAAACTGGACAGGAATAAGGACATGCTTTGCAGAGATTGCAGGGAAACCGGGAAAGTGGGGACTTTCAGCCTAGTGCTCAAGCTGCAACCTCGGCAGTTTCTTCGGACCATATCTGCGTAGAGTTGACAGCTTTCTCGCAGTATATTTGTGTATGATATTATATATATATATATACAGATGTAACTAGAAATCTAGTGAAAGTCTAGACTTGCGATGAGCCTCAGTTTTCACCCGCTCGCGCAGCTCCTTGATGCTCTTTCGCAATTCTCCGGCTCTCAGAAAATCTCAGTGTAATAGTGCTCCCTTACAGTCCCTAAAATAAGAATACAGAAGCTTTATGTCCCAAACCCTATTCTAGTCACCAAGGGGCCGATAAACATGCCTTTGTACAGCAATGTATAGTCGACCCTCCAACAGTTGGAAACCGGTTTAAGGACAATTAGTGCTGGGATTCCCTATACATTACTCTAAAGGTTTGAGGCTATTGGATTTGCAACTTTTGGGCTTTGTTCTGTAGGGCCTCTCTATCACTTGTTCTGGCCATGGGGCAGAAGGGAAGCCGCGAGGAAGAGACCATGGAAGAGCACCAGGGGCCTCAGAAGGTGCGATGAAGGTAGGTAGGATGAAGGATCCCTTATATGTAGGGCTCTTAATTGGGGATCACCCCACCCTAAACCCTAGACCCTAAACCCTAAACCCTAAATCCTAAACCCTAAACCCTAAACCCTGACACCTTTTTTTTGAGCCCTTTGAGAGCAGGCAGCGAAACGCGAGGAGGGACCTCCTTTCTCAATCTTTGCCTCGAAGCTGTCGCTGGGCCTTCTATTTTTTTGGACTCTAGGGTTTAGGGAATATTTAAGGTTTAGGGTTTAGGGATTATTAATCGTTTAGTGGTTTAGGGGTTTAGGGTTTAGGGATTACTTGAGGTTTAGAGGGGTTCAGGGATACCCTTAAAGATTTGGCTTGTTGTAGAGGCTTTACTTGGCACTGCTCTTTCTTTCTCTTGCGGGGCTTACACATGATACCTCAACGTGATCAGCCGGTGCGCAAACCGATATCCTCTTGAATAGTTTACACGTTTGGGACTAGGGACACATAACATACAAGCCTGAAGGAATACCTGCGATACGACCAACCTAGCACAAAGGATCATAAGTACCTACATGGGGATAAGTATCCAAAGCAGATCGAATAGTATTTCGAAGTATGGAAACCTGACTTTTCTACTGTGCAGGTACTTGGGATCCGTTGGGTACCTAGACAAGTAGGGCCCCGACAGTGAACGTTACACTCTCAAGCCTCAATCCTGTGTAGAACCCGCAAGTGAAGGCGGAGAACCCTTGTTAGCAGAAACCTTTACAGGATCCGTATTCTAAAACACTGGACTACTTCCTTAAACCCACTCCCTAAACTCTAACCCCCCCCACTCTAAAAAACAGAAAAAGCACACACAAAAACCTGAGCCCTAAGCCCTGGAGTACTTTCCGGGTGAAGCGAGGTCGGGAGAGGGCAAGACGATGGAAGGCCTCGTCTCCAGCATGCAGCTGGTGAAGCTCAAAGAGGCCCCATAAACCTCGGAAGGCTTGAGGATTTAGGGTTCAAGGTTTAGGGTTTGTGGTTTAGGGTTCAGGGTTGACATTGAGGGCTTAGGGTTTGAGGATTTAGGGTGCGCAGCTAGGGCCCCAAAAAAGCACATAAGCAAAGTTAGGATAGGGATATCCCATATACACCCCCCTTAAAAAGGAAGGCCAGTAAGGTAGGGATATCCCCGTAAAATGCTTATGCTTATGTGCTTTTGAGGGCCCCTAACAATGGTTCATAGGGCTGAAGGTTTAGAGCCCAATAAAGCCCGGAAAGATTGAGGATTCAGGGTCCCAAAGGGTCCAAGTACCGATATGGTAGCTACTTAGTAGATAACTGGGCCCCCAAAGTACACGCTATGCGACTACTTAGACTCTTTGGGGGGGTCTAGAATATGGTCCATGAGGATTTATGTCTTTTAGATTTACTGGTTTAGCTCTGCAGCACAGGCGAGACCCCATGAAACTCTGAAAAGCGAGAAAGTCCTACAACGCCTTGTAAAAATCGGAAATAACACCCATGAAGTGTGCTAAACAGAGCGGTCTTGTGTTTAGGGTTTAGGGTCTAGTTTAGGGTGTATATAGTTTTAGGGTTAGTTTAGGGTTTAGTTTGTTTTTTTTTTGGGTGAGGCCTCCAGAATGCCCTGAAAGGCAATCTGCCGCGACCTTCGCCTGCACAGCTTCAGTACGCAGCTCTTCCTTGATCGCCCCTTCGATGGTGCGGACGAGAGCAAGACGATCGGTGACTTAGCTCTCCACTACGAAGCTGTTACTTTAAGTAAGTCCTAAGATTGTTAGACTTTGAATAGATTATCCAAAGAGCATCGTGTTTCGACTTCACACGCTGACAGCCGGGATCCTTTCCCTTCTCCAATACATTTCAAAAGGGTTAGAGCTTGGTGAAGTTTTAAGGTCTACTAGAAATTTTTGAGTCGTTAGTTAGAATCAGGACCCCCAGGGCCCTGTAATAGAGCCCTTATAGCACTCAATGATGGGTATTCGGGGTATTTTGGAGGGTAGCTGGGGGGTTTAAGAAGACAGGTGACCTGGGCATCAAAGAGGGCGTTCAGCTTGAAGTGGTCGTCTGCGGCTTCTGCAGGCCATCGATCTCCCTTCCCAAAGGGTCCTAATATAGGGGCGTCAGTAATTACCTTGCTAATTTGGGGGATCCTTGTTATGATTGTCGTGCCCTATTAAGGCCCCTATATTACGTACCTATATGGGCCACATTCTACTTAATGTAGGTATTTTGAACCCTTTGGGGTTCTGGAGGCGAAGGGGCCCAATATTTGGAGTGAGGTTATTATGCTCGAATCATCATAAGAGTCTAAGGGGTATGTGCTACATTCTGAAAACTACACCCACTATATGCCATAGGGACTTTAATAGGATTTTGGCGGGAGTCATAGTCCGATCATTACGGGGCTTCCAGAGAAGATGTTGTAACATAGGGGGATGGAGCCATTACTAAACCTGTCCCTGTCATGTACCTGCACAAAAAGCGTCCAAACCCACTTCCATTGATCAAGGCCTCTGCATTACTTCCAAGAGCCTAAAATCACACAACTCCTACCTTAGCCCCTACAAATCCGTGTTATCAAATGGTATGCAAGGAGAGCTGTTTAAGGATCCGGGGGGCTCAGGTAAACCACTGTTGCAGTGCTTAAGGCCCCTAAGCATAGATAATGACCCTTTAACAGATCCCTTGCAGGATCCTTCATTGGGTTACAGTAAAGCCCAAAAAGTTGGAAATCGGATTAAGGCCACATAGAGCTGGGATTCCCTATACATTCTCTTAAGGATTGAGGCTATGGGGTTTCCAACTTGTGGGCTTCTACTGTATTGCTATGGAGTTTCATTCAGGTTATCCTACGAAGGAGACCGTATTGCTTACCATCGATCACGGGTTAGGGTAGCATAAGCCAAAATCCTTAACAACAGCCCAGGTAAGGGAACCCGATTCTAATTACTCAGGCCAACAAAACCCCTAAACCCTACCTTAACCCCAAATAGCTTATATACTTCTTACTAGGGAACCCTCAAATTCAGGTCATTTGGGGTCCCGGTGAACGCTAAGAAGACCTGCCCTGCTGCAGGCAACTCCCCGGAAGGTGGCAGCCCGCCGCAAGAGATCGCTCGGATTGGATGCGGAATCTTAGTTCCATTTGCTTTGGGGCCCTGCTTTAGAATGATATTGTAACTATGCTTTTCAGTCTTATGAGGCCTCAGTAACTGTTTACGCTCTTATATTATAGATTTTAGGGTTTGGGGTTTACGGGTTCTGGGTGCAGGAATTAGTGTATGGAGCTCATCGTCAGTGGCTGAGTATGGCTACCTTTCCATAAGATGTTTTAGTTGGTTCTGGTGAAGGAGTTTAATTTAATTGCACCTTACCATCACCAGGATCCGTATAGTAAGTAGCATGATGTCCTTATTTTGGCAACCCTTAACAAGAAGCTAGTTGATGTTCCAAAAGCAACTCAGGAATATGACCATCGCAGAGGATGGTACTTTCACCTGCAAAAGTGGGCAGGCCAGACCTGTATCTTATGGATGGTCGACAATATTAGGGTCCCAATTTTAGTCCCTAATATAGTAGGGGACCTAATGTTTAGGATACCCAGAAAGGGATCCTAATTTTGACAACTACCCATATAGGGGCCGTTTTGGGGTTTGCCACACTTTAACCAAATTGGGACCCACATATTGGTCACACTCATAGCAGCCCTTCTGATAGCTCTTAAAGTGACCCTTCTGGTTCTCCTTATGTTATCTGTCCCTACACCCTAAACCTTAAACCCTAAACCCTGAGCCCTAAACCCTGGAGGTCACGGACGGCTTGGTGCGCCTACTGTCTGCCTCAGAACGGAAGATCAATCTGAAGAGGACTTGCGCGGACGCGAACGATCACATTTTCGTGCCTGGGCTCTTGTTAATTAAGGAAATTAATTTAAGGTTACGTTCCATAGTGGGAGTCTATGTTAAATCATATGGTTTCTTGTTTTTTGGTAACTTAAGTTAAGTTCCTTGACAAGAACCCAGGTGCTGGATGAGTCCGGCACACAGATGACTGGCCATTGTCCGCAAAGCGGATCTACTTACACCCTCACGAAGCAGTAAATCTACTGCACTCATCAAGATGAGAAGCTGAAAGACAAGTCCAGCCGTTTCACTGCAAGGGTCTTCACAGGGCCTTGGTGTGACCCTAAACGCTCACCCCCCCGCCCCGAGGAGTGCTAGCATGTACGACTTATGCTAGGGAAGAGCAGGCGGCTCTTTTTGAAGCGGTCTTTCTATTCAAGCCGGCCTTGTTTGACGTTTTGGGGTATGGGGTTCGAAGAATTTCGAGTTCAGGCTTGCTTTTGGAGTATTCTGAACCAGAAAAGAAGCTCAGTATCAAGCCCAAGAAGACCTTATCAAGAAGAAGCTCTGAATAATAGAAACCTGTTAAGACGCCAAGCCTCTTAAACACAAGCAGAGAACCTTTGAGCCACTGAGAATTAGCTTTAGGTCATTGTAATGGAAAAGGTTACAGGGTTTGTGACTTAGATGTCTTTGTGGGCGGGTGGTTGCCACGAAAAGCATGTAGGGCTTGTTTTGGAGGTCCCTTGAGAGCTCAATATGGGGGTTTCCGAAGATAGGGGACCCAAACATAGTACCCTAAAGAATGAGATCCTTATTATAAGGACGTTACCATGAGAGGGCCAATAGGAATCGATAATCGATAACGTAGGCATAGGGTTTAAGGTCATCGGGTTTGTCATTCAGACCCACAGAGCTCGATTTGGCTTGTGGATGCGAGTAGTAGCAGTGGCCCAGCTGAAGGAAGAATTGTACCCAGAATGGGTTTTCAGGTTCAGGTTATCATATTGGGGATTCATAGTGCAAGGATCATGGGGCATGGCAGAGGCTACCCTGGGTTTTCCCTTTGGGCAGGCCTTCTGAGCTTGCTGTATTCGAAATTTAGAAGGGCAGAAGCCTCTGAAATATGCAATCCCTGGGTAATGGCTGGTAGTATACGTGGGCTGTGCAAGTGCAAGCTTTGACGGGTCAGTGCTCGAGAAACAAGTAGTGTCGGTGCCTAACACTTACCATGAATAGCATTCCTTGGTAGACCCGGAAAACTATGCTCCTTAGTCAGGTCCGATAGTACCACCTTCTAACAAACGTTTCAGTGGACCTTTCATACTCTTCTCTGATGGTTCTTCGGAAGTACCAAATAGTACACATTGTAGCTTTGAAGTGGCTCATGTTTAGGTACTAAACCCCAAACCCTAAACCCCAAACCCCAAACCCTGAACCCTAAACCGCAAACCCCAAACCCCAAACCCTAAACCCCAAACCCTAAACCCTAAACCTAAACCCCTAAACCCTAAACCGATTTGGGTACATCGACCCTCAAAGCTTTTCGGTGACATCGCTGTCACAGCTTCCGATTTGCTGTGGAGGAGTTTCGGCTCGCCAGAACTAGGCAAAGCATTACAACCTCGGCCTATGCCAGGGTGTAGGGGTTTAGGGTGGCGCACCCCTAATAATTAGAATATGGTTCCCTTAACAGGGTTCCTTAAAGGGCTCTATAAGGGACCTATATAGTAGGGTTCTATAGTATAAAGGCCTTAATAACTACCTATACTATTTTTTTGCGGGGTGGGGGTCCTTATTATATTTATAGTATGATTGGCCCCAAAACCCTATTCTAATTATTGAGGCCCCTATAGTAGGGCTTCAGGGTTCCACCGCCATGGAACTGCCCAGCGCTGCAGGGGGATGCCGCAGATGTGAGACGTGCACCCGTCAAGCCTTGATCACTGCTGACCACGCGAAGTTGATGTAGGGGCCTTAATAAATTAGAATAGGGTTTGGGGTATTTCATAGTATAGAAATATAGTAAGGAACCCACCAACATGCTATAGAGAATTATTTAGGCCCCTACATGAACGGTTGATGAAAATGTTCAGTCTGGACTCTGATGCCAGATTGACGGATCTGGAAGCGTCTTAACAGCCCTGCGCTAACAGAGCCAAATGCTTGACAAGGGTGACTGTTTGAAGGCCGACCAGCAGGCCAGCATCAGGCCTTCATAGATGAATATGAGTTCAGAGATTGCCGCAAGTGTTTGAAATCCATGGCCAAATCGAAAGGCTGCAAACCCGAGTGGAACTTTAGCCGCGAAGCCCGCGGTCAGCGCAGGAGAAGTGGCTAGGACAGTATTGGCTGGTTTTCTGCAAACCGATGACAGCCGGCCAGAGGTGCCTGAAGGCATGACCATCAAGTCCATTCGTATCTTCGGGCGCATCACATCGCTGGCAACCAAAACCCTAAACCCTAAACCCTAAAGAGTGGTATGTCATGTTCGACCTGATGGAGGTGTGGAATAATCCAATCGCTGGTACGATTCATCTCGCCGCGGTGGTACGATTCGGAGCAGAGCCAGCTGGGAGTTGCCGAAAATAGGGGACCCTACTACAGTAACCTAAATAGTAGGATCCTTATTATAAGGACCCCCCAAAATGGTACCCCTAGTTTTCCGAAACTCCCATTTAGTTGGCAACATGAGTCGCGCGGCAAAGGTTCCTAAGTGCTTCTGAGACACGGAACTCATCAGACCTGACATTGCAGAGCTACAAGGATTTGGGATACGTGTTTATAGGGCATGAGGACCTCAAGGACGAAATGAACCCTAAAAGGGTTTAAGGTCCATATACCATATAGGGATTCATAGTTTATGGGTATAGGGCCCTATATTTTTTCGGGTCATTTGGTCCTTCAGGGACGCGTGACGGTTGCACAGCCTGCGCTGGCAAGCTGAATTGTACCCGCGAGCTATCGGGCCACAATACGCGTAGACAGAATCCGACGTAATCCTTCGAAGTTGTTTGCACCCAGAATGGACCTGATTTGTCAACCCATGCAGTGTTCCGCAGATTCTGCTTCGTAGCCTTTCGGAGAGAAACACCTCTCCGTGCTGCCGGGGCTCTCCTCTTTCTCGGTGGGTTTACTCCACGTGCCTCATTTAGGCACGTGGAGTAAAACCCCAGCGAGAAAGAGGAAAGCCCCTATTGCATTCAGGGACACGGTTTTCTCACCATTTTAGACCAACCATTGGTGGACGATGATCATGAAAAAGGGTGACAAGCAAGCAATCAGATCTCAAAGTGCATCGTGAACGGCAGTTTGCACGATCAGCACAACGAGTTTTCGTGCGATTTTGAGTGGCATGCTCCGTTCGAGAGCACTGGGAGGATGTGCCATAAGCGCTTGTGAGGATTGCAAGCTTCAGGTTTCAGGATTGCAAGCTTCACGAACCCTTGAAGTAAGGGGTCTAGGATTCCCAGTAGTACCCAGGCTCCCTTTTTGTAGCCCTAGGTTCCTTATAATGTTACCCAATACCAACAAGGGAACCCTTTTTATTCCTAGGTTACTGGCATCCTAGTATATTATGGTACCCGTATAGATCCCTTATGGTACCCTTTAAAGGACCCCTTCAAAGGAACCCTAGTAGTTATTGCCTTGTCCTGCGTTTCAACTTTCAACTCGGGTGCGAGAGCTGATCTCCCAAGGCCAAGCACTGACCGGTTTAGGGTTTAGGGTTTAGGGTTTAGGTTTCGGGTTTAGGGTTCAGGGTTTAGGGTTTAGGGTTTAGGGTTTAGGTTTCAGGTTTAGGGTTTAGGGTTTAGGGTCCTGGTTTCCCCTAAAGCCGGTAAGCCTACCCTAGCCTACCAAAACCTACTTGTTTGTGTAGGGTCCCTATAAATTCCATATTGGGGCTTCTAATAAGAACCTGCCAAAAAGTAGATTTTAAGACCTTAAACCCTTTACATCCAAAACCCTAAACCCCCTGAGCCCTAAACCCTAAACCGGTCTTTCCAAAGGGTCCTAGGTATTGTTATGGGGCATACTTCCCCAAATCATGATAGTACTTCCTACTATAGAAACCCTACACTCTACTTCAGGGGTAGTTGTAAGTGGGGTTATAAGTCCCCGAATATATGTTATAGGTATAGTTACCCGAATTATAAGCCTACTTATAACTACTCATGGTGCCCCTAAACCCTAAACCCCTAAACCCTAAACCCCTAAACCCTAAACCCTAAACCCCTAAACCCTAAACCCATGATGCTCAAAGTAAGGTAAAGTAAGCTGAGGATGAGGCTCCTCTCGATGAACGGGGCCTACTTCGAATCTCTTTGGAAGGCCAGGGGCGACACGTTTGGTTCGCGTTTGAGGGATCGTTTTTTGTGGTTTAAGGGTTTAGGATCTAGGGCTTAGGGTTTAGGATTGGGCGGGTATATAAGTGTAGGTAGTAGGGCTCTACAGGGTTTAGGATTGCGGGGGGGGGGGAGTTTAGGGTTTAGGGGTCTCCGGGGTCTTTGATCGGGGGGTAGGAGGTTAAGGGCTCAGGTTTAGGGTTTAGGGTTTAGGGTTTAGGGTTTAGGGGGTCTACAGGGTTTAGGATTTGCGGCTCAGGGTTGGAATTTAGGCACGCGCCTCGAAGTTACAGTACAATGCGTTTAAGTGAAGGGTAGGGGAGGTTGCGCCGTTTTTTGTGTAAGGCTGGTGGGTGAACGGCTTGGGTCTCAGGGCTTACACGGTTTGAACACCCCAGTCAGAATTACGGCCCCTGTACTCAAGCTCTCTATGAATCGTACTCCTTTCTTGTCGTCTGAGGACCCTTGCAAAGATCTTGGCCTGACCAGGCATGCCCTCTGACAAGCTCTAGGAATTTATCGCAACGCTCCAAACCCCAAACCCGCCAAATCCCACACTTAAGACGTTGAAATCATCCTCCAAATGTGAGCACTATCCCCTTATCGTCCCTAGAGCTGTGTTCGAATATGCGCTGCAGAAGTCCGTTGTTCGTTAGCAGGCCACGTGCTCCGAATATGAGTCACAAAGACGCCCAAGCTAAACCCCAAACTCAAAAGCTCCAAGTTAAACCATGCAGTTCACTATATTGGAGTATATGTTTCATTTTCCTATAAATTAATATATAGTTTGAGGGGTATAGTTTTATTTTGGTTCTGAGGGCGGCTAGGTGAAACCTCTCAGCTGTTTGGAGGCTTGCACGCACCAGCGTCACAGCACTTTCGAGGCGCTGTGCTCTAGAGGTTCTTGACCTGTTCGGTTTAGGGTTTATGTAAAACAGGGGCCCGTGCATGAGTAAGGTCAGAAGTTGGCTTTGGTTTAGGGCTGACCGGGTTTATTAATGCTTATTGGGGGGAGTGTTGGGGGCCAATTCGGGGGTTGATCGTATTTGCGTTTAGGGCTCATTTGGGTTGGCGAAAGCTTAACAGTTTGATCTTCAGGGGCCAGACTCTTTTCTGGGGCACCAGATCTCCCCTTAGGCCCTGCAAGGTAAGCCCCTAAACCTCAAACCCTGCCGTTTCTAGAGCTTAGGCCCTCCCGAAGCACTAATTAAACCCTAAACTCTACATCCTGAGCCCTAGATCCTACCTACACTCGAAATCCTAGACGGTATATCCCCTGACTCCCACCCTCAAATCCTGTAGACCCTCAACCCAAAGCACCAAATTTTCGTAAACGCTCAATACCCCGCACCCCAAGCCTTCGACCCTAGACCCTTCTACATCTCAGAAACTCTACAAAACCTTAAACCCTAAACAAGTCCTATAAGCCCTTCTAAATCCGACAAATCCTGCAGACCTATGTTTTGTGTCCGATAAATCCTATAGAGAATAGTTGAATCCTATTTTTTTATATCTCAGAAATTCCTACAAAAAAAATTCGAATCCTATAGACCCTACAAACTTGTTCTTTCAAGAGTCGGTTTCTGGGCTGCCCTTTTAGCCCAGGGACTCCCGAAGCCTCGGACCTTGGAGCAGCCCTTGGTCTTGCAGATCTTCGAGGCCTCTTTGAGAGCTTCTTTTAAGGTTATAGTAAACCCCATAAAGCTCTTTTAAAGGGGTCTATAATGAGGGATCTACAAATTAAAAAGAGTTCTGTAATGTAGGGGCCTTATAGTAAACCCCATAAAGTTGGAAACCGGATTAAGGCCAAATAGTGCTGGGATTCCCTATATATTACTCTTAAGGGTTGAGGCTGTGGGGTTTCCAACTCTTGGGCTTCTGCTGTATAAGGGTTCCATTTAAGGAACTATAATAAGGTTTCCCATAAGAGGTAAAGTAGAATTCGAGGGTCTTGCAGATCGTCGAGGCGCCTTTGTTTAGGGTGTAGGGTTCTGCAGGGTTCCTATAGGGGATTAAGGGATCTTTTAAGGGTTTCATTTAAGGGCTCCTTTAAGGGTTCCTTTAAGGGATATGGTCTGGCAGATCTTCGAGGCGCCTTTGTTTGGGGTTCCTTTAGGGTATAAGATTCCTTCAAAAGGTTCCTATATATATATACACATATTCTCTCTCTTTGTATATATACACACATATATTATGTGTATATATATATATATGGAGAGTAGAGATTAGCCCCTGGTCTTGCAGATCTATGAGGGCTCCTTTTTAGGGGTCTTCGAGGCCTCGTCTTTTTTGGCAAGGCCTCCAAATAACTTACATCTAGGATGCTCGGTAGTACCCTTATCGCCTTTTTTGTAGTCCTCGATTCCTTATATATTTCCCTAATACCAAACAGGTGGCCTTTTTGTTCTTAGGTTACTGGGCATCCTAGACAAATTTAGGATTCCTTAATATGGTTTATTTATATATATTCCTAAAAAGGGTAGGTTACTTGGGGTTAAAATAGGGCTTAGGGTTCCAAGGTTTAGGGCAGGAAAGCTGTACCTCTCAAGACAACCAGGATCTGCGAAACACTTTAGCCCATGGCAAGAACTCTCAGCCGAGAATGGCATCCTATCATTCGTATGGGTGGTTGTCAACATGATGGTCCCGTTTTGGGTCCCCATTATAATACGGCACCTATTATTTACGGGACCCAAAAAGGGACCCTAATTTTGACAACCACCCGTATGGCTTAAGGCCTAAGATAAACCTTCTTATAGGGGTTCTGGTTTCAGATCCTGCCGGTGGTCTACGAGAGTAGGATGCCTTTTCGCAACTTGAGAACTGTAGAATAGTAAGCTCCTCTACTTGTTGCACAGTTGGTGCCCACCAGCTTCGGCAGGAAGGAGGATACATCCACCTGAGGTGTTGAAATAGCTGAGACCATGAGCGCAGCGGCCCAGACGCGGAAAGAAATGGCGATGGAGTTTCTGACATACTGCCTCGATGGCAGCATCTCGTTTGTAATTCCGTCGTGTCAGGCAACGCGGGCAGACATGATTGTTTCAAACCTGCCGTGGGGCACTAGAGCCAGATTTGTGGGGATGGAGCTCGGAGGCAAGGCTCCGTCCGTCCTCGACATCTTGAATGTCCCCACGTGTGCATCTGAGTCACGGGCTTCCATCTTGAAGAATGTTCCACAGCCTTCGACATCTATCAGTTAATATATCGATCCTTGTCCAATATGCCCATCTTTGGGATCGTTAAAGGGATTCGGGTTTGGGGTCTATGGCATTACTCACGAAATCGACACCAGAAGGGTTTGCCGGTTCAATGGTCATGTGGGGCTTCATAGTATGAGGGTATAAGGCCCCTACTGTTCAAGGGCCATGTCGTCCTGCAGGGAGGCCCCCAAAATGTGCGAACGGAGGCGATCCGTTGAAACTGGGTTCTTGTTAATGTTTTGAGCTTAAGTTGCCACAACAACGAAACCATATTATATATCATAGATCCCTATTATGGCAAATTAAGCCACTAAGCCCTAAACCAAACCCTCTCATTTACTATGGATCCCTCTTACGGTAACTTACATGTCCTTAACCCTAAACCCTAAACTTATGAGGTCGATATTCCATTGGTATGTCGGTGCATAGATAGCTTGAAGACGTAGCCTGAACCTTACTTGGAGGTTCAGGGGTTGCTAAAAGTGGGGTTATAAGCCCCTAATATGCGTTATGAGCATAGTTACCTTACTTACAGCCCCACTGATAACTACCCATGAACCTCTAAGTACGGCCCGTAAAGCCGCAAGCAGCAAGCCACAGGCCATCATCCGTCTGGCGCCGGTCTCAGCTTTGTTCTCGTCGCAGAGTGAAATAGACGCAGTAGGCGTGTGCGCGTGCGCGTGTGCGTGCGTGTGTGTGCGTGTGTGTGTGTGTTGTGTGTGTATATATATATATATATATATATATGTGTGTGTGTGTGTTTGTTTGTCCATCCATCCATGCATCCATGCATCCATCCGTGCATACGTGCATGCGTACATACAGACGTAAACACATCTATCCATCCAGCCAGCCAGCCAGCCATCCATCCTTCCATATTCCATATATGTACATGCATCAACATATGTACAGTGCATACCTAGACATACTGGTAAATGAATGTATCTATGGCTTTGCGCTTGATGTGTTAAGGCTATAGCAGCTTGGAAGGTAGGGTTCAAGTTTGTGGATCCCTTGTAGGAACTATTATAGCTCCTTTAAAGGAACCCCTAAACCCTAAACCGTAAAACCTAAGAGCTCTGAGGCTCGAAACTGGCTTGGAGTTCTTCGGGATCGGGTCTTCGAAGGGAAAGCATTGAACAAAGTTAATAGAGGGGCCTTGATAGTCCTTTAAAGGGTCCCTTAAACGACTCTCTAGGGAATCTATAGTAAGGTTCTAGAATTCTATAATATGGGGGCCTTAATTAATATTTGCCTATGCTATTTTGGGGGTTCCTGATTATAAAGTTATGGTATAACGTGCCCAAAACCTTATTCTAATTACTACGGCCCCTATATTCTGGTCTGCGACGTGCGGCAAGGTAGAGGCCCTGATGCTTAACATAGGGTGTGGAGCTGGCCCCACTCTGTGACACCCTTAATATAGACTGTTACAGGGTGGCGGCAGAACCCAACCTCCAGTCCAAATAGAACGTCTCAAGCCCAGTTGAGGCAATGGATCCTCCAAAACAGGACCCTAAACCCAACACCCTTACACCCTAAACCCCTAAACCCTAAACCCCAAGCCCAGTTGAGCCAATGGATCCTCCAAGCTGTTGCCCCTGAGGTTTCTTTCTTCAGCCTGCGCTATAGGATAACGGGCCCCAAAACCTTATTCTAATTATTGAGGCCCCTATCTTATGGTCTGCGACATGCGCTGTTGCCCCCGAGGTTTCTTTCTTCAGCCTGAGCAAGGTTGACGGCCCTCTGTCCCCGGTCTCAGACAGAAAGTTGTCTTAGGTGTTCATGGGAAAAATGAAGGGGCTTAGGGGTAATGTAGGGGCCTCAATCAGTACGTATACTAGTCTGGGAGCTCCTTATCATAATTAGAGTATCTCCGGAGCAAGGGTTTGGGGATTGTAGTTTAGGTTGAGGGGCTTGATTCGGAGCTTAGGGTTGCGTGTTGGTTTAGGGCTTTCACTGTCGAAGTGAGTCTTTGGGATTTGAGGGCTTGGGCTATGGCTGTCGAGTGTCCGAGCTTTATTCATGTGGGCGGGACATCGATGAAACCTCGAAGCCCTAGTACTCTGAACCCTCGAAGTCTTCAGCCCTAAACAAATGTGGAACATGTGGAGACATACTAAGAGACCTATACTAGGGGTCCTATCTCGATTCAAGGTGTGTTCCCTAAACTATAGTCTCCTTAGGAATTATTTGTGTGTTTGTTGATATACAGCCCAAGAGAATATACTAAAGTGAGGACACTGGAAGATCGGGGAAGGTTTTCTGAGTCTGGATCCGCTGCCAGGGGAGGAAGCCAAAGCCGAAGTCAGACCCTACGACGTGACCGTCTTCGCACTCGGAAAAACCCTAAACCCTTAAACCCCTAAACCCTAAACCCTTGAAGAGTTCTGAGAATGTCGGACGCAACCTTTGTCGTCGTCTCTGAGAGGGCATCCGGACAGACAGCTGACATCACTTACTCGCGCCATCGTTCTGCTGACCCAAAGGGTCCAAGTACCAATATGGCAGCTGCTTAGTAGCTATTTGGGCCCCGCAAAGTATCTACTATACTATTACTTGGACACTTTGGGTTGAGCATGATACACAGACAATGCGTCGATCTTGCATCCTGAGTCCTCCGGGTTGCTGGGTCGCTTCAACATGGAGAAGGGGTAGCAAGTGGTGTTGGCGACGACAGCGACAGTAGAAGTAGTAGTAGTAGTAGTAGTAGTAGCAGCAGCAGCAGTTGCAGCAGCAGTAGCAGCAGCAGCCGAACCCTTAGGGGGACCCCGAAAAGGAGCTTCAGAGAACTCGAAACCTCATACCTTAAGCCCTGAACCCTTACAGAATCCGAAAAGGAAGCCTACACAGGGAACTGTGCTCCTAGGCGCCGCGGGCCCTGAAATTTCAGACAAGCAGCTCCCAGAGTTGGTAGATGTTTGGATAGTCAGCGTTAGTGCTTTAGGATTTTCCTGTGACCCCAAACCCTACAAAACAGTAGGTTACGACCCCTTAGTTAGAGGGTAGAACCCTTAAAACGGTAGGTTTGTGGATCCCCAGGTTTTCACATTTATAGAAAAGATACAACTCTACGCGACTCTCGAAAGGTATTCTTTATTTTGGTGTTCTGAGGGTGCGTATGTTTTACAAGCACCTAAGCACCTAGATATCCGGAGACTGCAAAACCTCCTCAATCAAGGAGCATACCTTAAATCACCGAGGGACCCTCACTATGTACACCTCAATATGAATTACTAAGTACCTTTTACTTTAACGAGTTTGTTGAGTGTATGTAGAGCTCATACCAGTGTCCCTGAAAACGGAAACCCCTCCCTCACTCACTTGGGAGTTGCACACCCTTAAGGTAGGAGCCAAACTAGTGCTGTCCAGCTGTCCTTGATGTAAGCACCTCTAGGCCTTGCGAACCTCCCCTAAAACATACTGTAAAAGGTATGCCGAAGTGAAGAAGGCCGGAAGGGGGCTTAAGATTTGCGGGGTTGTACCGGAGCGTTTTGGGGTTTTAGGATGCCGGGTTCAGAGTTGATGGTTTGGGTTTTTTTGGCGTTCCTTAACCCTGAAGAATCTACCTTTTTTCAGGACTTACATAAGGAAGTCATAATAGGGAACCCTAACAGGGTTAAGGTTGGGTTTAGAGGGGGATTTCGGGTCTGAAGCTGTCTGCAGGGTTTTCTGGTTAAGGGTAAATGGTCCCATGGCCGAGACATAGGTCTGGGCTCTGGAGTACCATACTTTAAGGATGCTTTTGGGGTACCTGTTTCTTAAAGGAGCCGTAAGCAAGCATTATGAAAAAAGCGTATGCGTTTTGAACTCTAAACCCTAAACCCTATTTAGTCCTCTTGGTTACTTCGAGGCCCAGAGGTCGGATTGTTGCAGTAGGATTTGGATTGAGGCCGCAGGGTGCTGTATTTGGGGGTCGAGGGCTTATGATGCATAATTGCTTGGTTTCTAGTTACTGGAAAGCCGGGCAGGCTTCATAGAGGGTTTGTTGTAAGAGGCATTCCCGTTCAAGGTTTAGGATGAGGCCCGAATTTCAGAAAATCAAAGCCATTTTGGACAGCTTGGCTCAGCAAGACAAATTTGTTCCAGCAAAGAAACCTCGACCTGTGAACTCGAGCCTGACCTAAAACCACTGCTTTAACCCTAAATAGCCTACCTTTGTATGGACTTTTATAAAGAATCATATTAGGAACCCTAAAGAGGCAGGTTCCTTAGGGTCCAGGTGATCCCTCGAAAAGCGATCTCAGAGATCCTACAAGAAACGTATATGAGCTATTGAGGTAAGCCCTGACTAAACTTTTGCAATTCGGGCTGCAGACGCTTACAGAGGCATTTGTTCACAAATAATCTCGGTGCTTTCGCCAACGCCCTATACAAACCCTAAAAGCCTTCCCTTCTTGAAAAGTCGTATCACGAGGAAACCGCAACGAGGAATCCCAAGAAGTTAGGCTTTCTTGGAGTCTAGGTAAGCTTTCTTCTGGTCCCATGGCACTTCTCCAGCGCTCGACCCGCGCTTTGCGCGCTGTATCCGCCTCCGGAGCGCTGTGCAGGGGCTTCGCCAACGGGTGCCCGGGGTGTGGAGGGGGAGAGAGAGGGCGGGAGGGGGGCGGGGCGACGGAGCGGGTTGGGTTGGAGTTTCGGTCTAGTTGTTTCGATTTGGCGGCAGAGTTAGTGTCGCATAGGGGCCTTCTAATCACAGGAGGGTGTTGGATGTGGACCATGAGGTTATTACTACTACGTGATGCATTCTATTTTCTGTGGATGTGTGAAGAATTTGACAATGGACACCCCTGATTGCTAAGCCTTGTTGAGACCCTTTAAGGGCGCTTACATTAGGATCTGCAAGTATTATGCGCCTGTGTGTTTATGGAAGTTTTGTCGTGAAGGGAAGTCTTTTCGTGAAGAAGATCCGGTGTTTTACATCGTGCTTCTTGTATGTTGGATAGAATCCCCAAAACGGTAATCCCTAAACCCTAGACCCCTCATCCCTAAACCCTTAGTGAGGTATATCTGTTTCCTGTATAGTATAACCTGTATAGTAACCCTGGTATGAACCCTGAAGGAACCCCACAGATCCCCTTCAGGATCCCTTAAATGAACCCTAGAGATCCCTTTGAGGAGCCCTTCAGGGATTAACCCCAGGGAGCCCTTAAGTGAACCCTAGAGATCCCTTTAAGGAGCCTTTAGGGGATTCCTAGGGGTCCCTTTAAAGGAACCACCCCCCGAGAGTCGCTGCCCGACAGGTACATCCAAAGAACGGCTGCAGAGGGGAGCCAGTCTCTGCTCGGTCCCTTTCAAAGTGGCCTGGATTTTCTAGGGTTTGGGGTTTAAGTTAGGAACCTGATTAGGAGATCAGTAGTAGTAGTAGTAGTAGTAGTAGTAGTAGTAGTAGTAGTAGTAGTAGTAGTAGTAGTAGTAGTAGTAGTAGTAGTAGTACGAGGAGCTACCACTAGTACTACAACTACAACTACAACAACAACTACTACTACCACTGCTACCACGACTTTGAAACACACCCGAGGCACCGGTGATCGCTTCGACAGCGTCCTTAGAGGCTCAGCAGAACGGGGATGGGGCCATGCCCGCGGAGACGCTTGGGGGACCTTTCGGGGCTTTTTCAAGTGCTCTTAGCCTGAATTAAAGGGAAAAAGGAGGGACCCTTAATGGGGACCCCTACCCTACATTGGGCTATATAATTTATGGGTATATAATGCCTTCATTATGGGTATATACCTTGGGGTCCTTATTAGGGGTCCCTCCTTTTACCCTTTCACTGAAGGACCAAATGACCCGTAAAAGTAGGGGCCCTATACCCATATACTATGCGTCCCTATATGGCATATGAACCTTTAACCCTTTTAGGGTTCCCTGAGCATGGGCTCGCAGCTTTGGCGTGGGTTTCGGCCAAGCTGTGAGTCCATTGGGGACTAGAACAGCTAGGTAACTAGGTGTTCGCGTGGGTGATTCTTGATGTGGGCACAAGAAGGCGCCTCTCTTGTTGTCATAGAAGGACCGAGAAATGGGACCCGGATTTCGATCTTAAGTCCCAAATCTGAACCACCTAACTTCGATTGTTACTGCCCCAGACTCAGTAACAGTTGGAAAAGTGTTTTTTAGTATAGATACTACCTTAGCCCTCATTGGTAAGGATGGTTAGATATGGTTGGACCGAGGGCAGTACCCGAACAGATGTAAGTTAAGTGACATTCCTTACTTAACTTACCTTGGGCACTACTTACCTTGGGCTAGTAGGGAATGGATCAATGGGGTAGAATTATAACCACTGTTACTACCATTCTTCCTTTCCCTACAAACCAAAGGTAAGTTAAGAGACTTTTGAGCTTCGGCCTCCTTGTGTTTGTGATGTTCAGCTGCCAAACCCAACCCAGATCCGACATTCCAAACCCTGGAGCCAATGCACCTGAATACTAAACAACATGGTTTAGGGTTTAGGGACTTGTTTGGGGTTCCTTGATATTGTCTTCGTATATACCTCTTTGACAAGGTAGGATTTTAGGGGCCACTGATATGAACCCAACAAAGGAACCCTAAACCGCTCAATCTATAGCAACCCTGAACCCCTAAACCCATAAGACTAGGACCCAGAGTAAGCCCTTATTCCCTTTTTAAGGTGTAGGTTCCGTTATAGCACCCTGTAATGAAATCATAAGGCCTCCACTAAATGGTATAACAGTACCCTTCGGGTTTTTGTGTTTCAGCTAACCGGTTGTAGGTGTTCAGAGGTTGTGAACGTACAGGGTTTTCGTTCATGATCAGGACGGTCTAGGACCATGTTTTGAGCTTCTTCAGCTTAGGGTTTACAGCACTAGTTGTTTAAGCGCTTCTTTGTACACACACACACACACACAGAGTATAGCATAGTGCCCCAAACCCCGAGTCTAAGTATGAAGGCCCTGACAGTGAGGAGTCTTTTTCGGGATGGCCCCACCTACCTTCATCCATGTACCGGTTCCATTGATACCATGATTGCAGGTCTAATCCCCCATGTAACCCCCCGAATACTAGGACTCAAATAAGGAACCCTAACGGACGCCCAAGGTTTCTTAATCAGGCCCAGGGTTGCTTAATCAGGGTCCTACATTAGGTCATTTTTAGGATGGGTTTAGGGTTTAGGGGTTACCATACACAGGATGCTCTATGGGTAGTTCTTTATATTTGGGGTCCCCTTTTGGGGTCCTGCCTGAAAGGGTGTAGTTTCGGGACTTAGGAAGAGACACTACTTTAGAGAGCTTAATGGTTCTTGCGTTTGCGTGAGGGATGGTGCAATTTACGGTTTACGGTTTCGATCGAAACCTTTGGGCTTAGGGCGTAAGGGTTGAAGGTCAGGGTTTAGTAATTAGGGTTCAGGGTCCCGGTTCAGGTTTTGGAGTTTAGGGCTGAGGGTATGTCAAGTGTTCGTCCTGGCGGAGTCGCAGCAGGCCAGTTGCAAAAGGGCTGAGGGTATAGGGCTTAGGGTTTGGAGTTTAGGGTTCAGAGTTTAAGGTTTGTAATGTGCCTGCTACCCTGAATCCTAAAATGATGGTACTACTAGCTAACTAACTATTCACGGAACCCTCTTTATGTATATATATATGTATATGTCTGGGAATATAGAAGGGAGTAAGGAGGGACCTTCTAGTTTTGGCTCCGGGGCGGGCCTCCTGCCGGACGAGTTCATCGGCTGGAGGATCTTTGGGAAAGGGGGGGTTGGGCGGGTTGGGAAAATTTAAGTTTCAGGTTTGTTTGGGCTTGCAATGATTTGAAAGGTTTAAAGTCGTAGAATTTCAAAGATAAAATCGGTTGAAAATGCTTAGATCTTGAATTCAGAAAGGATTGTGGGGTTCTCTAATAAATGGAAGCTCTTAAACTGCATACCCTAATCTTAAGCTCTAAACCCAAATCCTTGTAAACCCTAATATTGCAGACCTGGCCAGGCTTGCCCGAGTGTAAAACTAGAAATCTTGATCTCCAAACTCTATTATCTAAACCCTAGACCCGAGACCTTGGAGCCCGTAAACCTCAAGCCCCAAACCCTGACCCCTAGACTCAGACCTCCACCCGAAACCCTAGACCCTAGACCCCTAAACCCTAAACCCCCGCAAACCCCCTGTGGTGGCGGCGATGAGACGAGGCGCGGGTTTAGGCGTACAGGGATACAGGGTGGTATGTGATGCTGGTTGCCCACAAGCTCGTCCGGGACTTCGGTCCTGGACGTCTGTGGGGGACCGGGTCACCGGGTTACGAGGTCCGAGCTTGCCCGGAGTTTCGGCTCTGGGCATCCGGACCTCAAGGGGAAGATCCGAGCTTGCCCGGAGTTTCGGCTCTGGGCATCCGGACTTCAAGGGGAAGATCCGAGCTTGCCCGGAGTTTCGGCTCTGGGCATCCGGACTTCCAAGGGTCCAGAGTGCTGTGAGAGTGAGCGCCCGAACCCGAAAGCCTAAACCCGCAAGC